CACAAACTAAAGTTCATCATGGGTCTACCATCACAAACTTCCGGGAACTTTTTAAGCAGTTCGTGGTGGTTTGTGGCAGTTTATGGACAGAGCAAGAAAGCAGGGGTTTAAAGCAATGTTCCCTCTAAGCTGTGGAGTCTTGTGAGCAAAAATTCTACTTTGTGAGCCACTGGCATTAAAGCTGTGAGCGAGCGATTTGGCTGCTGCATAAATTAGCTTGCTCTGGAGCCATCCTTCCTGAGCTAAGACAAAAAGGTGTGAGCCAGAGGCGAAAAAAGTGAGCTAGCTCACACTCACTCAGCTTAGAGGGAACACTGGTTTAAAGGGACTCTGAGTCCCTTTAAACTTCTTCAGATCCGAAGAAGTGAACAGTGACTCATGAAAGCTCCTGCCCTGCCACAAATTTCATTAAGTCTTTAAGGTGCTCCTGGACTCTTACTCTTTTCTATCCCTCCTCGTTTTATTCCCGGCACCAGAGGAGTCAATCCATTACCTTGCGTGGGCATGTTCCTGTAACACCTGAGCCCATCCAGGTCCCAAGAGATTGAAATCAAGCTGCTGGTCCATCTTCAGGCTCCAGGAATCGCCTGGCTTCGCCTCTTGGATCTGTCCCTGAAAGATCCTTCGCCAGTCATTCATGTTCAGTTTCTTCATGGTTCCTACTGGGCCGCTCTCGCCAGCTTTGCTAATAAAGAGGACTTGGTTTTCCAGAGGCCAGCGTTGGAATGAGGTCAACTCATGGATGGAGTTTGTTTCTCCCAACCGGGAAGGTGAAGGACCTCCTTTGGCGCCTGCCCTCCCCGCCTCCAGCCAAGCAGGAGTCTACCTTCGTCAAAAGGGAGCTGAAAGGGTAATTTCCAAAATGGACTTCAACATTTGACTGATATCAAAGCAAACATTGCTGTATTGGGGAAACTTTCGACATGCCAGTTTTCTGTCGCGCAGAGCATTGAAGTGTTAATTGCCCTTAGACCAAGTCCGCAGTTATGCCAGCTGGTGCTAGCGATAGCAAGCCACATAGACACAGTCCTGTGTTTAACTATTTACAGTTTATTTACAGCTATATATTTTTTCAATCCTAAAAGAAATCAACCCATAATCCTCCTTTGTATATGCCAGCTTTTGAGATTGGGTTCCATTACAGCCATGCTTGAATAAGAATTATTCAAAACGCGACATCAGGCATCCGGATTACGCGTCGGCTTTTTATGGCTCAGAAAATTTGATGACATGTACTTCAATTTGGACTTTGATATTGCTTCTATGCTGGAGTAAGACACATGGAAAGACTGTACATTATGCTTCATTACTGCACCTTGGCCAATTGATTTACATTATACTTACTGTATACTTATATGATTATTATATATTTGTTCATTGTCAGTCAGTGGTGTTTCTTTTTGTGCTTCTTGTTCCCTGGAAGGCCAGATAATGAAATTGAAGCTCAAATACTTTGGCCACCCAATGAGAAGGGAGCACTCACTGGAGAAGACCCTGATGCTGGGAAAGACTGAAGGTCAAAGAAGACGGGGACGGCAAAGGATGAGATGGTTAGACAGTGTCATAGATGCCACGAACATGAAATTGAGCCAATTTCAGAGGACGGTGGAAGACAGGAGGGCCTGGCGTGATCTGGTCCATGGGGTCGCGAAGAGTCGGACTCGACTGTGCGACTGAACAACAACAACAAATAGTTTCTGGAGCTCACCGACAAAGTGCTCCGCAATACAGTCATAAAGGAGAAGAGGATACATCCTTCAGACACTATACACCTATATACAAGCTACAGCCAATCAGCACACACCGCTGAGTCGTTGTTACGGAGCTGTTCTGCTCTGGATAGAACCGATCTGTTCTGGCCTCTGTGGCTGTCAGAGCTGTCAAGTAGATGGGTGAGATCACCAGGTCTGATGTCTTACCTAGGCCTATATATGTCAACATTTTCTACACTGGGGGTGGATTTTTTGTTCACATAACTCCCCTGCCTGATGTGCTCGTGTGGTGTTGTGATGAAGCTCCCTCGCCCCAGACTGAGAGTTCCTATCTGCACCTTGTGGCTAATAGCCACCGATGGACCTCTGCTCCATATCTCTATATCTAATAGCCAAGGCGTCCCCTGCGTGTGGATATCTAAATCTGCACATTAGGGGCACCTGGGGGAGGCAAGGAGATTTTCCTGCACATTTGGGGCAATCCCCAGATGTGCAGAAAAATCTGAAAAGCTGAAAAAACTATAGGGGGGGATACTTAAATCCCCCCCAAAAGTAAAAGAGTGTTCCCTGGGCATGCACAGGGAATGCACTTATCACTGGGCACTGTAGCAGAGCCGTTGCTGCTGGTGGCAGCATGCAGGGGAGATGCTTTGGCATGCCGGCGGTTTGAAGCCGCAGCCATTGTGGGGGGAGCCTGTCCTGGCCTGTCCTGGCCTGCCGGGCGGCTACTAACCGCGCAAGGCTTGCCACCGTTGCTGCTGGCAGTGACGGCAGTGGGGGGAGCGGGAGGGAGGGAGGGAGAAGCCTTGGAGGGCCAGTGGCTAGAGCCACGGACGTTGTTGCTGTCAGGGGGGGAAGCCCAACGGCCCGGTGGCTGGGAGCTGCACAGGGCTTACCGCCATTGCTGCTGGTGGCTGCGGTGGCAGGGAGACCCTTGGAGGGTGTGACGACCCCTTATCGGGGAGGACTGTATTTCATTTTAATGTTTATATTTTATGCTTACAAATTAGGTAGTTCTAGCTGCCACCAGGAATTTTAATAAATTCCAAATCTTCTCTTTGCTTCTGGGGTTGGTATTGTAGCACGGGGTCTAGGCTTTCAAGGATCTAATATGGCTTTGAGGAAGAATTGATATGACTTCTGTGATATACTTAAATAAAATAGGATTTATTGGAAGAGGAACAAAATTCGAGGTTGGTTATTACGTAACTGGCTGAGAATACGGTTCTTGTAACTATTTTTGTCAACTGTATCACACACACTGTCAGTTTTAGTGCTGACAGGAATCTCTTTCCTTAGGCAACCACACAGTTTAATCTCTGGGTAAATTTAACTTCTTCAAGAACTTTAAAGATTCACTATTGAAGATATATGCTGAGCTCTCTCTCAGATATCACACAGAACAAATGTATCCTACACAGGAATGCTTCTCTCTCCTGTCTCCCTCAGAACAAGACTTAACTCTAACTGTTTTACTGAACTTCCACACTCTGCATTCCCTGTCATCTCTAACTGTCACTCCTCACAGACATACAAATCATCCACACAGCATCCATTCCAAAACCCCTCCCCCTCTCTGTCACTCACCAATCATACCACTTGCCTGCTTCCAGCACCCTAGTCTGTCATACATCCATACAAACCAAACTTTTAAAGACACACACACAAATAAACATGAAATCGCCACAGAGGGCCAGTGGCTAGAGCCGCGGCCGTTGCTGCTGTCGGGTGAGGGGGGGAAGCCTGGCGAGGCCAGTGGACCGCCTGCTGGGCTCACCTGTGGCCACTGCCACCGCCTCCTCCTCTGTGCTTTAGCAAGCCAGCCACCCGGGAGCCGCGGGGAATATCCCCCCCCCCGCAAGTATCCTAGGGCCCCCAGGCTTCTTGTGTTTTTTCTTGAAGCCATCCATGCCTGTAGTCGCCACCCCCTCCTGTGGCAGTGAATTCCACGTGTTAATCACTCTTTGGGTGAAGAAGGACTTCCTTTTTTCTGTTCTAACCCGACCGCTCAGCAGTTTCACGGAGTGCCCACGAGGAGTTCTTGGATTGTGAGAAAGGGAGAAAAGGACTTCTTTCGTGACCTGCTCTATCCCAGGCATCGTCTTTTAAACCTCGATCATGTCACCCCTCAGTCACACAATGTTACCACTTTGAAATGTTCTTTAAAATAGAACAGCCCCTATCCATGAATTTTCCCCAGTTGAATACATTACACTTGGGCGGAGAGTCTCCGGAAGCGCCTTGAAAGACTAGTGTTGACCAGCTGCATTTTTTTTAAAGGATTTTTTAAAGGGGGGGGGGGGACTTGTGTGTCTGCTAAAAAAAATCCTGGGCAGAGAAATTCTGATTCAACACTGGCTTCTTTTATGTTCTTATGTTATTATTTCACTGAGTGCCCACAAGGAGTTCTTGTATTGTGAGAAAGGGAGAAAAGTGCTTCTTTCCCCGCCTTCTCTATCCCATGCATAATTTTGTAAACCTCTAGCATGTCACCCCTCAATCGCACAATGTTACCACTTTGAAACTTTCTTTAAAATATAACAGCTCCTATCCATGAATTTTTCCCAGTTCACTGTTGGCCTAAAAAGATATCGTTCTTCTGTTTAGCACAGGGGATTTCAGATCTCACCAACTCTTTTTCAAGAGCACAAATTAAACCCACAAAGTTTTCCATGCGCCTGCGCCAGGATTCTGAGTGGCCATGACAAAACTCAGAAACATTCTTGACCAGGAAAGATTTATTTGGAGAAAGCAGATGAGAATAAACAAATCAAATAAAGCAGAATATAAACATAAAATATTGCATGCTAGTTTAATATAGCACTAGGATAGTTTCTTGTGCAGTGTTATGCAAAATTCAGATACAAAGCACATGTACGAAAGCCAGGGTGATGTAGTGGTTACACAGTGCTGGATTAGGCCTATGCTGGACTAGACCCAGGTGCAACTCTGCATGCCAAATTTTCCTCTACTTCTTTTGGGGGAAGTGTTAAATACTGGGTTCTGGACACATTGCAGTGATCAGCTCTAGTTTATTCAGTGATTGCAGGAACACAACAAGAACTGGGCTTGCTGCCCTGTTTATAAAGCATACAAAGATCGCACCCTGACACACACCCCTCCCAACGATAGCCTGTTTACATAACACTGCTTTCCCATTGGTTCCCTCCAGGATCCTGGTCAGCTATTGTTCTGGGGGAACAAGCTCTACCAGTTCCAGATGCTAGTTCAGGCTCCACACATAACAGGAGAATGCAACAAAGAGCAAAAAAAATGCAAGCAACACACGGAGAAAACCCAAGATGTCTGGAAAATCATTCTGCTGTGCAGACTGAGCAAGGAAAGCCGGTCTTGCCAAACAGGTTCCATCCTGACATGCCTCACAGTTGTCTCTGTCATGTGGACCCTCCACATCTTCCTCAGCATCATGCTTAAAGAAGTGAGAATTTTGGGGGGGCTCCCCATAGCATTTATCCAGGATCTTCAGAACCAAATTGTGGAGGAGTTTGTGAGCAGCCTCCTCACTGAAGATGGGCACCTCATACGTGGCCTGCAGACATCTACGACATCTCTGTCCGAATAGCCTCGTCTTCACCTGGCCTTGGCTCGAACCCCACCTGCTGCTCTCCAGGCGCATGTGGAAGCGAACAACCACCTGGGCAGACTTCCACTCTTTTGAACAACTGGAACACTCAAACCTGTTGGCAGAAGAGAAGGGGGCGGCTTAGGCATAGATGGTTCTGAGCATGGAGAATTCTACAAGTCCATGAAATAACTGGAATTGCTCAAGATATTCTGTTCCTCGGCTCCGTCATCAACCAAAAGGGAGACTGCAACCAAGAAATCAGGAGACTGCGGCCGGGAAGGGTGGCATCACTGGCGACCAAGATTTCCATTCATGCCATAGATAGGGTTGCCAACTCCAGACTGAAAAATTCCCGGAGATTTGGAGGGGTGAAGCTTGGTTAGGGAGCTCCAAAAACAGGGGAAAACCTAGCATCACATGGGCCCCAAAATAAGCCTTTCCAGAGGCAGGATGCGCAGCGTCTTCTATTACAGAGGGAGGCACACCTCAAATTTTATTTGAAAATGTATGAACCTTTTGGCTTGAACAGGGAAATTGATTTTTCAGCCTTTTTTATAAACAAACAAACAAAATTAAACATTCATTTGAGTAGAGCCCTTTAAATGGGACTAATCTAAATTGAGTACACCTGTTTTTTCCCCTGTTGGGCTATAAATTGGCATGCATCTCCATCTGTATCTTTGAGAACCTATGATTCACTCTTTATACTATGAACCTTGTGGTCTGTTGAAATTAGGGTGAGTGTATTTTTCAGGCATGCATTTTTTTTAAATTGTTCTTTATATGTGTTTTTGTGTAAATTCCTTTACAGCTCCAACTACACAGCCGGCAAGCTGAAGAAATTGAAGGAAACACATTTTTTAAGCATCATCTGAAACGGGCATCTTTGCAAAGGCAGTTTGGAAAATGTTATGACTATGTGGACTCCTCCTGTAAAGTTCTACTGATAACATGGACTTTACGTCTTGTCTTCTAAGGAGGAAACGTATCTTGTACCTTATTAGAGTTATAAAGTAAAGGTAAAGGTTCCCTTGCTCGAAAGCCAGTCAAATCCGACTCTAGGGTTGCAGTGCTCATCTCCGTTTAAAAGCCGAAGAGCCAGCGCTGTCCGAAGACGTTTCCGTGGTCATGTGGCCGGCATGACTAAACACCAAGGCATATGGAACGCTGTTACCTTCCCACTGAAGTGGTACCTATTTATCTACTTGCAATTTCTTGCTTTCGAACTGCTAGGTTGGCAGGAGTATGCACTTAATTTTGTTGTTGTGACACCACCAACTTTATATTTGTTAAATACAGTTTCTATTTTGGCAATTTCTGATGGTGTTTCTCCTAGCGGAATTTGTATATCTGGGACCTGGTTAGGGACCTCAGCAGAGTATAATTCTTAAGTCGCTCACTTAACAAAGCAGTCGGAGAGTGATTCAGCAAAGATTCAGCTTTCTTCAGCAACTCAAACACAACTCCAACGCGGATCAACATCTGATAGCCAGAACAGCTTTTACATTGCAGCTGTCCTGCTTTTAAACTCTCCCAGCCAATGTAGCCACGCCTACTGTACAATTACCAACCAATAAGGTTGCATACATAAGGACCAATCACGGACGTTCCCGCTCAGGGAGCTTGCTGACAAGTGATTGGTTGGTTCTTCCTGGGCTATCAATGCGATTGGATGGATTTGGATCCTAGCCCAGGACGAAGCTTTACATAGCAATTCAATTATGTTGTTCGCATACAGTTATGCATTCAATGGCAGCTATTGAATACATTACAATAATGCCACAGAGTCCACCCTCCAAAGCATACTTTTTCTCCGGGGGAACTGATCTCTGTCGCCCGGAAATCAGTTGTGCTTCCAGAAGCCAGACCTGACCTGGAGGTCAGCAACTCTTCCTTTATGAGACGGAGTAATTCCCCAGCTCTTTACGATATTTGGGGGGTATAATCCTGGTGCGGTGGAAGCAGCAAACTTGAAACACACAGGATGACTTGCTAAATCAGTGGTTACAGTGCTGTTAGATGTTTTCCTCCTTTTTCTTCTGCTCAACCAGTTTGTAGCTACATAACTTAGGTAGACTGTGGCTGGTTCTGCGTCTGGCATTCGCTCCACATTTTCTCAACACTGAGGAAAAGATGCAGCTCAAAACTGCATTCAAATACCCCGGGGCCAACGGCATACTGACTGCAAAGTCACCCCTGAACGGCGATAAAACAGCTATAAATCTATGCAGAACATACCATAAAATTTGAGGATCAAAGACCGTGAAAGCAGCATGCAGTGGAGAAGATACCATAAAACCCGATGATCAAAGAAAATGAAAGCAGCATGCAGTGCAGCGGGCACCATAAAACCCGAGGATCAAAGACCGTGAAAGCAGCATGCAGTGGAGAAGATACCATAAAACCCGATGATCAAAGAAAATGAAAGCAGCATGCAGTGCAGCGGGCACCATAAAACCCGAGGATCAAAGACCGTGAAAGCAGCATGCAGTGGAGAAGATACCATAAAACCCGATGATCAAAGAAAATGAAAGCAGCATGCAGTGCAGCGGGCACCATAAAACCCGAGGATCAAAGACCGTGAAAGCAGCATGCAGTGGAGAAGATACCATAAAACCCGATGATCAAAGAAAATGAAAGCAGCATGCAGTGCAGCGGGCACCATAAAACCCGAGGATCAAAGACCGTGAAAGCAGCATGCAGTGGAGAAGATACCATAAAACCCGATGATCAAAGAAAATGAAAGCAGCATGCAGTGCAGCGGGCACCATAAAACCCGAGGATCAAAGACCGTGAAAGCAGCATGCAGTGGAGAAGATACCATAAAACCCGATGATCAAAGAAAATGAAAGCAGCATGCAGTGCAGCGGGCACCATAAAACCCGAGGATCAAAGACCGTGAAAGCAGCATGCAGTGGAGAAGATACCATAAAACCCGATGATCAAAGAAAATGAAAGCAGCATGCAGTGCAGCGGGCACCATAAAACCCGAGGATCAAAGACCGTGAAAGCAGCATGCAGTGGAGAAGATACCATAAAACCCGATGATCAAAGAAAATGAAAGCAGCATGCAGTGCAGCGGGCACCATAAAACCCGAGGATCAAAGACCGTGAAAGCAGCATGCAGTGGAGAAGATACCATAAAACCCGATGATCAAAGAAAATGAAAGCAGCATGCAGTGCAGCGGGCACCATAAAACCCGAGGATCAAAGACCGTGAAAGCAGCATGCAGTGGAGAAGATACCATAAAACCCGATGATCAAAGAAAATGAAAGCAGCATGCAGTGCAGCGGGCACCATAAAACCCGAGGATCAAAGACCGTGAAAGCAGCATGCAGTGGAGAAGATACCATAAAACCCGATGATCAAAGAAAATGAAAGCAGCATGCAGTGCAGCGGGCACCATAAAACCCGAGGATCAAAGACCGTGAAAGCAGCATGCAGTGGAGAAGATACCATAAAACCCGATGATCAAAGAAAATGAAAGCAGCATGCAGTGCAGCGGGCACCATAAAACCCGAGGATCAAAGACCGTGAAAGCAGCATGCAGTGGAGAAGATACCATAAAACCCGATGATCAAAGAAAATGAAAGCAGCATGCAGTGCAGCGGGCACCATAAAACCCGAGGATCAAAGACCGTGAAAGCAGCATGCAGTGGAGAAGATACCATAAAACCCGATGATCAAAGAAAATGAAAGCAGCATGCAGTGCAGCGGGCACCATAAAACCCGAGGATCAAAGACCGTGAAAGCAGCATGCAGTGGAGAAGATACCATAAAACCCGATGATCAAAGAAAATGAAAGCAGCATGCAGTGCAGCGGGCACCATAAAACCCGAGGATCAAAGACCGTGAAAGCAGCATGCAGTGCAGAGGGGAATTTCAGTTCCAATGTGGATTTGCTAAAACAATGGAGGGAAAAGCCCGGGGCCGTAGCCAGGATTTTTGACTTCAGGGGGCATTTAGATAAAAGTCGAGATGCACTGTGTCAGGAGTTGCCTGCATCTCAACAAGACCGTGATATCTGATGCCTATTTACTTACTAAGTTTGTACTGTTAGTTATGGCTCGTATTCTTAGGATCGTTATTTTAGAAGTTAGGAGTTAATATGAGATTGTGTCTATTGAAGTCTATATTTTGCTATTTTAAAAGTATCCTGTAACCTACTACCTTGACTATACGACCCTCACTAATGTTTGATATATGGAGTATGTTTTTACAAAATAAATAAAACAGACGGAGACGGCACTGGTCGCCCTCACGGATGACCTCCGGAGGCACCTGGATCGAGGCGGTTCAGCGGTACGTCTGCTGTTAGATCTGTCGGTCGCATTCGACACGGTCGACCAGCAGTTGCTGAACCACCGCCTCGCCAACATGGGGATCCAGGGGCTTGCCTTGCAATGGCTTGCTTCCTTTCCCCAGGGTCGGGGACAAAGGGTGGCGCTTGGGGAACAGAAGTCCAGAAGACACCCGCTGGAGTGCGGAGTGCCCCAAGGGGCAGTGCTGTCCCCGATGTTATTCAACATCTACATGCGCCCCCTTGCCCAGATCGCCCGGAGGCATGGGCTGGGTTGTCACCAGTACGCTGACGAGAGCATGCTGATTGGGCTGCTGCATAAATCAGTTTGCTCCGGAGCCCCTCCTTCCTGAGCGAAGACAAAAATGTGTGCGCCGGAGGCTAAAAACCTGTGAGCTAGCTCACACTAAATCAGCTTAGAGGGAACACTGCCTGTGAGGTCAGCGGGGCCGAGAGAGCTCTTTCGAGGACTGCTTGAGAGCGAACAGCTCTGAGAGAACTTGTGACTGGCCCAAGGTCACACCAGCAGCTGCATGTGAGGGGGTGGGGAATCAAACCCGGCTCTCCCAGGTTAGAGTCCGCACTCCTAACCACTAGACCAAACTGACAACCTTATTGGGGATTCACCCAGAAGCTGAAAGGCACGGGTTGTATCGCTAAACTACTGATAACTGAGCACCACTGTGGCTTTGTGGCCAAGGATATTCTCCCACCTTGATCCATTGTGACACCTTACCTGGCAAAAACCGGCTTCTGGTCATACGTGTACCACCCATATGAAGAGCCACTGAGGTCATCGGACACATCCAACGTCCACTTGTCCTGTGGTTTACGCATCTTCATCAGCTGAACAAATCTTTCCTTCCAGCCCTGGACATTGTCAGCTTCCCTTCTTCTGGGCATGGCTGCTTTCTGAACGGCAACAGGAGCTTCCTTTTCTAGAAAAGGTACCGGGACACCCAAACTGGAAATTGTCTGTTTGGCTTTTTCGCTCAAGGTGATTCTCTACCGGTGCCTGTTGGATTCAACCTGTTCTGTGCTGGCAAGTCTCAGGATTAAAAGCGGGTGGGAAAAGAAACCGAAGAGAAGGCGTGTCCTGTTTTCAGAACAGCACTTCCTCCTCTTCGCATGGCCGTTGTCTCTGCCACACCTTTTCTTATATTTCTGGGCTTGGCTGCCTCTGTCAGGCTATGGGACCAAAGGACTCTCCCCCGTGATCCCTTCATCCCCAACAGAGGCAAAAACTGGGCTCCACAGACACCTGCGAAGAATCTGTGACTGTTTGCCTGTTTCGTGTACACATGAATAAGCACGGAGCTGCCTTCTACTGAGTCAGACCACTAGTCCATCAAGGTCGGTATCGCCTTACTCAAACTGGCAGCCGCTCTTCAGGGTCTCAGATCTTCCCTATTGTGTAGTGGGTTGCCGCATGGATGAACGACAGACGACGACGTAGTGCATAGCACGCTTTATTAGGTACACAACAAGACGGGGAACAAACGGCCGGCAGGCCAACTATATACACAACCAGGGGACCACCCCTGGGTCCCATTGGCGGGTTTGAATCTCCCGCCACGGTCCCATTGGTTCCCCCAGTGGAGGGACTAGGATCCTAGTCACCATTGTTGTCCAGGACCGAAGCTCAGGAGTGTGCGCTGACCTCCGGTGGCGGTCAGTGGACACAACATTCCCCATCACCTACTGCCTGGTCCTTTTAACTGGAGGTGCCAGGTATTGAAGCTGGAACCTTCTGCATGCCAAGCAGATGCTCCGCCACAGAGCCAGGGCCCCTCGCCAGTGTTCCCTCTAAGCTGAGTTAGTGTGAGCCAGCTCACAGTTTTTTTAGCCTCCGGCTCACACATTTTTGTCTTGGCTCAGGAAGGAAGGCTCCTGAGCAAACTAATTTATGGAGTTGCCAAATCGCCCGCTCACAACTTTAGTCCCAGTAAGCTCGCAAAGTAGAATTTTTGCTCACAAGACTCCACAGCTTAGAGGGAGCATTGAGACCAGTGTTCCCTCTAAGCTGAGTTAGTGTGAGCTAGCTCCCAGTTTTTTTACCCTCCGGCTCACACATTTTTGTCTTGGCTCAGGAAGGAGGGTTTCAGCCCCTCTCCCCTGCTGTGCCTTTTCCCTAACCCTGGGAAAGAAGAAGAAGAAAAAGATATTGGATTTATACCCCACCCTTCACTCAGAGTCTCAGAGCTGTTTACAAACTCCGTTCCCTTCCCCTCCCCGCAACAGACACCCTCTGAGGTCGGTGGGGCTGAGAGAGCTATGAAAGAAACTACTCTTTTTCAAGAACATCTCTGACAGAACTATGACTTGCCCAAGGTCATCCAGCAGCTGCAAGTGGAGGAGTGGGGAATCGAACCCGGTTCTCCCAGATTAGAGTCCACGCACTTAACCACGACACCAAACATTTGTGTTTTTTGTGTTTTTAATTATGTTTTTATTGTAGTGGTTTCCTAATAGTATGCGCTACTGTAAAATTGTTGCTATATTACATAAATAAAAGTTATTTATAAAGAAAATACTTTTATTATCAAAGTTTACCTTTACTTTTTACACTTTGTACAAACAGTCAGTAAAATCAGCAGAAAGTTAAACTCCAAAAAGTAGGAAAAAATCTTGCCCAAAAGTCATGCGCTGTAACAGTTTTTTCCTCCCCCCTTTTGGCTTTTATCCTTAGGGGAACCTGTTAACACGCTCCCCCCTCCCTCCCTCCAGCTGTTAATTAAGATATCTCAGCTGTGCAGCTCTTGGCGAGATTAAAAAAAACAAACAAACTGGGGAGTTCCTGCAATGACTTGCAAGGTCAATCCTTTCCCTGTAGCCCTCATTTAGTTCTTCAGAGTTCCTGCTTTGTACACGAGCCGGTCTCTTCCTTACAATGTGAAACTGCCTTATATTGAACTGGCCCATCAGAATCCGTCCTCGTCTGGCAGGGGCTCTCCAGGGTCTCAGGCGGAGGTCTTTCCCATCACCTCCTGCCTGGTCCTCTTAATTGGAGACACCGAGAATCAAACTGGGAACCTTCTGCATCCCAAGCAGATGCTGTGCCACTGAGCCACAGCCCCTCTTGACAGCTCTCCAGGGTCTCAGGCGGAGGTCTTTCACATCACCTCCTGCCTGGTCCTTTTCAACTGGAGATGCTGGGGACTGAACCCGGGACCTCCTGCATGGCAGGCAGAGGCTCTTCCACTGAGCCACAGCCCCTCTTTACAGCTCTCCAGAGTCTCAGGCTGAGGTCTTTCACATCACCTCCTGCCAGGTCCTTTTAACTGGAGATGTCGGGGACTGAACCAGGGACCTTCTGCATGCCAAACAGAGAGATTGCCACTGAGCCACAGCCCCTCTTTACGGCTCTCCAGGGTCTCAGGCGGAGGTCTTTCACATCACCTACTACTTGATCTCTTTTAACTGGAGATGCCGGGGGATTGGACCTGGGACTTTCTGCATGCCAAGCAGAGGCTGTATCATGGAACCACACTTCCTTCCTACCAGGGCTTACACTTAGCCTAAGTATCTGTTTTCAACACCAGGACTGAGAAAATGAATAGTGTTTTTTAAGTAATTCTGAGAATAGGCAGAAGAATTGCAGTCTCCTGTCTCCCCGTACGTTTAGAATTCAGAAACAAATTTTAGCATTATTACGGGGAGGGGAATTCCTTTTTCCGAAATTAACTTTTAAAGATATATTCCTCTTGTTTTCTGTCCTCTTTTTCCTCTTTGGTTCCTTTGGGGGCCTCTTATTCTCTCCCCCCCCTCTTTTAAAAGAAGGATTTCTCTTTCATTTCTCTCTGATTTCTTTTTGAAGAAAGCCACGGAGCGAAATCCTTAAATTTGGCCAAACCTCCCTTTCTGCCCTTTCTCTGTTTGAATTAGTCTTTGATCAATAAAATAGATTATAAACAGACTCCAAGTTCTTAAAAAAGAGGATAAGGGGATTGTTGGCTTTCAAGGAGAAACTGGGTAAAGAGGAATTAAGAGAATATCTCTTAACAAGTGGGTAAGATGCTGAACTGCAGGCTGTGGAAGGTCAGTAGTTCAGCAGTTCAAGACTCGGGTGCCGCATGACGGAGTGAGCTCCCATCTCTAGTTCCAGCTCCTGCCAACCTAGCAGTTCGAAAGCAAGACATTGCAAGTAGATAAATAGGTACCGCTTCGGTGGGAAGTTAACAGCGTTCCGTTCACCTCGGTGTTTAGTCATGCCGGCCACATGACCACGGAAACGTCTTCGGACAGCGCTGGCTCTTCGGCTTTGAAACGGAGATGAGCACCGCAACCCTAGAGTCGGATTCGACTGGCTTTTGAGCAAGGGAACCTTTACCTTTACTTTTTACACTTCCAAGTTAGCATGCATTAGACCAGTATGTAGACTCACATGGATGGCTTTAAAGGGGAATTTAGAGAGGAGAGATCTATCCCTGGCTGCTAACTGCAGATAAGTGCAGAAAGATGCCATCCACCCTAGAAATCATATTTATATCCCAGCAAATGGGACTGCACTCTACCTATGAACTGAAAATCTGTTGCAGGCTTGTAGCTGGGAAGAAGGAAATGTTCTGGGGTGATCTGTCTATGCTTGAGGCCATCGTCCTCTGGCACCGCTCCCAACCAGTGAATACTTCAGAGCTTACAAATGACTCTGGCAGGAGTGGAACAAAAGGTTTACCAGCTAACGCCTCAGTTAAGACCATGTCTCCATCCCTTAGGTCTGACAGTCTAGCTTTCAAAAACAGCTATGGCTGTGGCCATCGTTATATCCTCTGGCCATTTGCTGCCAGAGGATGTTATGATGGCCACGAGCATAGACAGATTCCTGGAAGAGAGGTCTATCACTGGCTACTAGCCACGGTTAGTCAAGGGAACCTCCATGTCCAGAGGCAGTGAACCTCTGAATCCCAGTGCCAGGAGGCAACATCAGGGGAAGGCCTCGGTCTCTATGCCCTCTTGGTGGACCTCCAGAGGAACTGGTTGGCCACTATGTGAGACAGGATGCTGGACTAGATGGACCCCTGGTCTGATCCAGCAGGGCTCTTCTGTTCTCACGAAGGCCTCGGCCTCTGCCCTGTTGTTGGACCTCCAGCGGGACTCTTCTGACGTTATTCCATACTCGGGTGAGTGAAATTTTACTCAGATAGCAGATTGCTCAAGTAGTGATTAAGCTGTTTCCTTCCAAGACTGCTTTTATGGAAGGTGTCCTTTCAGAGGATACAAAAGCTTGTGACAAGATTTCAACAGCTTTCAAATAATCCTGTCTGAGTGTGTGTGTTTCCCCAGCCCAATTTGAGAAAACACTCCGTACAATCCTGTAGAGCAGAATCAGCTCTTGTACTTTATTGATCAACAAAGGAGGAAGGTGCAGATCCAATAAGGTTTTGGACCCCACAGCTCTCCCTCAGGTTACAATGGGAGACATAAAGTTTTATACCCCCATGACAGATAGAAATAAATTATAATTATTGGTTCCATCAAACTTTGTCATATATCCGTCACCAGGGCTATTTTTGGGCAGGAACGCACAGGAACGGAGTTCCGGCTGGCTCCTGAGTTGGCCACGCCCAGCAGGAACTCATTAGCATAATAGGCCACACCCAATAGCAGAAACTCATTAGGATTGGCTACATTAGGGTTGTGTGGCCTAACATGCAAAGGAGTTCCTGCTACAAAAAAGGCCCTGGGTTTTGACAACAAACAAGGTAAACAGAATAAGAAGGGAAAGGTGGGTGTGGCTGGATGACCACACTTCTGGTAACATGGGGTGTGGCCAAATGTGCTAATGAGTGGTGCAGTCAGGGTGTGGCCTAATATGCTAATGAGTTTTGCTGTTGGGTGTGGCCTATTATGCTAATGAGTTCCTGCTGGGCTTTTTCTATAAAAAGAGCCCTGTCTGTCACACCACTCTGATTGGGCCGAGGCCTGTAGGTTGGACTTTCTCAGGCAAAAATATACCTCCTTCAGTTGAACAATGGGCCTTCTTCTTCCCAGGCTATGAAGTGATAAAAAAGTATCTAATGTAACAGATATGGGTACATCGTGTAGTATGGTTTCCATCTAACGCAAGCTACCTGACATCGGGGACATGCGCAGTTACAACTGGCCATTATAAGCAAGGTCATAAGCAGTCAGTTACTGCCTGTCAGCATTTAGCATTTTCCCCAGAATACATTTAAGCAATGAACGAAAGTGAATATCTGAATATATGTCCATAATTGATTTCTGTTTCTGCAATTAGATTCATCAACGGCACTTAACATATCTGTAGGTCTGTGTATGTCAGAGGTGCTAACGGAATCCACTAAGGTTAGCCTACTAAGTCAGACAAAGTGCCGAGTGCATAACAGTGTTTCATAAACTGTGCGTATAACAAGGGTTACGGGGCTCCTACAAGCAGAGCAAATTGAGCAGGAGAGTTCTATCTCTGATAGCATATTCCTGGATTTGCTTTCGTCTACCCACTGTTTTGCCATATAAGATAGGCAGTGATCATTAAAATGAAAATCACACTTATCCAAAGGCAGTCAACGCAAGGAGAAGAAGGCTGTGTGGAGTCTATGGATGGCTGAGCCCGTGTCTTTGTCTCTTCAGTGTTCCTAGAATGCCCTAGGCTTTGGGCCTTCCCATCATGCTTTAGGACCCCGATGATGCCATTTGTGAATTTGGCTATGGGCCTTCCCAAGATGCCTTTAGAGCCCCGGTGATGCCATTTGTGAATTCCCAGTTTGCAGGCTTCACAATGCCGAGGTCTATGTGGCCCAGTGTGCCCCAATACCACCTCGAGGAGCTCGCTGCGGTCAACACGCTCTCGGTAGCATTTCTCCCTTATGTCCAGGATCAAGTGCCTTATGACGTTGCCGACATCCATCTCGGTGAATTGTGGCTCTTCGTACTTGTTTGGAAAACAGTTATCACACTGTTGCCTGAAGACCTTCATCCAGACGCATCCGTGGCACTGAAGCTGATCCCAGCGCATACGGAACAGGATGACGACCTGATGCGAGGACCACCAATGGTGGCATTGTGAACACGTAAAGCTAATGGGGGAGAAGAAGGAAGGAAAAGAATATCATATGAGCAAGGGCAAGCCAGTCCTCCTTCAGGAGTTATTCTGGACAATGGCCATTGATTTTTGTACCATTCATAGATCGTTTATGCCCAGGAACTCATTTCCCACATTCTCCGCAGGAGGAGGAGATTGGATTTATACCCCACCCTTCACTACCCAAAGGAGTCTCAGAGTGGCTCACAATCTCCCTTCCCTTCCCCTACACCTGAGAGAACTCTTTTGAGGACTGCTAGTGAGAGAACAGTTCTGGGCGAACTTGTGACTGACCCAAGGTCATACCAGCAGCTGCATGTGGAGGACTAGGGAATCAAACCCGGTTCTCCCAGATTAGAGTCCGCACGCTTAACCAGTACACCAAACCAGAATAATTTTCAGTAGAGTCACATGAGGATATGAGTTGTAGTTGTCCTTTCTACAAAGGGACCAGTTTCTACCTCTAAGGAAAACTGAGGCCACATGAGAAGAGACAGAGAAGGCATTGTGAGCAAAGATTCTACTTTGTGAGCTACTGGCATTAAAGCTGTGAGTGAGCGATTTGGCTGCTGGATCAATGAAGTTTGCTCCTTTATAACACGGAAAGAAGGAAGGAAGGAAGGAAGGAAGGAAGGAAGGAAGGAAGGAAGGAAGGAAGGAAGAAAGGAAGAAAGGAAGGAAGGAAGGAAGGAAGGGAAAAACGGCCCACAAAATAGGACCGCTTGCACTAATGTTATCTATTGGCATGAATTCATCCGTAGACATTTGGTGGAATGTTCGTAAACAGAAACTTTTGTTGATTATGAAAAGGAGAAGAAGAGATTGGACTGGACTGGATTGGATTGGATTTATACCCCACCCTTCACTACCCAAAGGAGTCTCAGAGCGGCTGACAATCTCCTTCCCCTCCCCCTCCCCACAACAGACACCCTGTGAGGTAGGTGGGGCTGAGAGAGCTCTTTTGAGAACTGTCCTTGAGAGAACAGCTCTGAAAGAACTTGCGACTGACCCAAGGTCACACCAGCAGCTGCCTGTGGAGGAGTGGGGAATCAAACCTGGTTCTCCCAGATTAGAGTCTGCGCTCTTAACCACTATTCCCATAGCTTATCATACCATTGGTCTATAGAGGGAACAGCCTGAGTTTTCCAGTGCTTCGCGATAATGCACTTGGCTGCAGTTAGAAATACCGAAATCAGTTCTCTTACCGCTTTTCAGACACATGTCTTGGGCCACAAACTAAGGAGGATAAGGGCGGGATCTTTGGGAACCTTGCAGGTTGTAAGTGTTTCTATCTCTGTTAAAATCGCATCCCAGAAATTCAAAATAACGGGACATTCCCACCAAGTAGGGTGGTATGTGCCCCGATGACCACAACCCTTCCAGCATGTGGGGGGATGTTCTGGTGATGAGTAGGAAAGCTTGACTGGAGTAAGATACCATCGCAGGAGAACTTTGACAGACTGCATTTGTATTAACAATGATTTAGAAGTGAAGGTTGAGGAACCCCAGATCTGAGCCCATTGATCGTCTGTAAGGGATCTACCTAGATCCTTATGCCAAGCTTGTTGGTAAGCTTCAACAGAGGGTGCATTACACTTCATTATATTTTTATATATTAAAGGAATCAAGCCTTTCTTCCGGAAATTTTTTGATGTCAGCTATCGAAGGAAATTCTATCCTTCATAGAGTTAAAAAGATGGGATACCTGTAGATATTCAAACCAGGGAATCTTGATGTGCCCTATTTTCTCCATTTCCACTTTCTCTAGAAGATGTTCTCGTTTTGAGATGTCCATAAATCTTGTCAGATTTAGCGATCTCCATCTAGCAATGAACCCTGATTCGCAGCCCGACACGAACCACATCTGGTTCAAAAAACCCATAGCAGAGGACCTTTCCGGAATTAGCTTCCTTCTAAATCTATCCCAAGTACTAAAGGTTGCCCATAAAAAAGGATGGTCAACACTACTGTCTAACCGCACGCTGGCGTGTTGCCATAGAACATCCCTAATAGAACCTGATCTAAGGAAAGTATCCTCAATCCATTTCCAATCAGCCTCTTATGATGAATGATATTGTTTTGCAAGATTCGACAGTATGGTTGCAGAATAATATAGATTTAGGTCTGGAATTGTCAAGCCCCCCTGAAATTTAGATGTACGTAGTACTTTAAAACTCACTCTAGGTTTCTTATATTGCCAAACGAAATTGTTAAAGTTCGTTTGCCATGCTCCCACTTGTGAAGCTGTCAAATTGATTGGTAGTGCCCTGAAGAGGTATAAAGAGAAGAAGAAGAAGAGATTGGATTTATACCCCACCCTTCACTACCCAAAGGCGTCTCAGAGCGGCTTACAAACTCCTTTCCCTCCCCCTCCCCACAACAGACACCCTGTGAGGTCGGTGGGGCTGAGACAGCTCTGACAGAAATGGCTTTTTTTTCAAGAACAGCTCTTATCAGAACTATGGCTTGCCCAAGGTCATCCAGCAGGTGCAAGTGGAGGAGTGGAGAATCAAACCCGGTTCTTCCAGATTAGAGTCCGCACACTTAACCACTACACCAAACTGGCTCTCCCCTTATTGCATTATGTTTAATGTAAGCAGGAAATCACTTTGAAAATGTGGAGGTGAATTCTGTAAAAATACAAGCAAGTAACTCTGGTTGACAGGTCTCCCCAGGGCCAAGGGTGGGTGATGCAGAGGGGGGTAAGGGTTGCCAGATCCAGGAAGAGAAATTCCTGGAGATTTAGGGTTGGAGCCTGGGGAGGCCAGGGAACTGAGTGGGGTACTATGCCATAAAAAGAGTCCACCCTTCAAAGCATCCATTTCCTCCCGGGGGAAACTGATCTCTGTACTCAGGAGCAACGTTCCCGCTAAGATGTGGAGTCCTGTGAGCAAAAATTCCACCTTGTGAGCTACTGGCATTAAAGTTGTGAGCGAGCGATTTGGCTACTGCATGAATTAGTTTGCTCTGGAGCCGTCCCTTCTTGAGCGAAAGGAAAAATGTGTGAGCCGGAGGCTAAAAAACTGTGAGCTCGCTCACACTAACTCAGCTTAGAGGGAACACTGCTCAGGAGATGAGCTGTCATTCCAGGGAATCCCCAGGTCCCACCTGGAGGGTGGCATCCCTGCACGTCACCATTCCCAAACCGCTGGCCGGCGTTTAAGCCCTCTGTTATAACATTCTTCCATTTGCCAAGTCATTACCAACCCAGTTCTTTACCTTGCGTGGGCGTGTTCCTGTAACACTTGTATCCATCCAGATTCCACGCCATTGAAAACAAGCTGCTGGTCCCTCTTCAGGCTCCAGGAATGGTTTGGCTTCACCACTCGGATCTGCCCCTGAAAGATCCTTCGCCAGTCATCCATCTTCAGCTTCTCCATGTTCATTTCTGCCCTGTTCTTGTTAGCTGCTAATAAAGAGTGCTGAACTTTTCAGAGGTTGCTGCTGGAAGAACTAACAGACGACGCTTCTTACAGCCAAACAATTCTAACCCGACCAGGAAACTGGAGAGTTCCTCTTCTTGGCAGCCTTCCCACAAACAGCCGGCAGCCAAAAAGTTTGGGAAACGAAAGTGAGCACTCTTGGGTCAAATCTGCGTTTGTTTTTCCCACGGGTGTCCCAGCCTTCTGACGTCTTCAAAAAAGTTGTCTACTTTTGGTTTCGTTTTCACGCCTCAACAGTGCTAGCATACTTTTGCACGTCCACATATGTTTATCACCTTCTCCTGGGGGCTCCACTGTCACTGCGCCTCCCCGCTGCTTTAAAAGAATCTTTTTTGGTGGAATCTGCATTTGCATTTTTAAATTGGCTTCATGCTGCTGTGACACTCTTTTTCTATGCTTGTTTGAATGTTGTTTGGAGAAGATTCTTTTAAAGCAGTGCAGAGGTGCGATGACAGTGGAGCCGTCCGGAAAGGCTGGCAAGTTCCAGTGTTCCCGCTAAGCTGAGTGACTGTGAGCTAGCTCAGTTTTTTAGCTTCCGCGCACACATTTTTGTCTCAGCTCAGCTTCAGAGCAAACTAATTTATTTTATTTCTATTTTATTTATTTCATTTTATTTCTATCCCGCCCTCCCCGCAATGCGGGCTCAGGGCAGCTTACAAGGCACTAGGTGCTATAAAAACAAGTACATTAAAACAGCAAAAGCTAAAATTATTAACATCTCACAGATACATGAAGGACTAAATTACACATTCTCCATTACATGTCATGAGGGGTCCGATGTCAAAATCCAAAACCAAAATCCAAGGGGAGACGGCATGAACTATGATGTTCCCAATTCCCAGAGGCCCATCCCCGACGGTCCTGCTCCGCAGATATGCGGTGGTGGTAGTGGCAGTGGCGGCCCCTATTCAAAAGCCTGGCGGAAGAGCTCCGTCTTACAGGCTCTGTGGAACTGTAAAAGGTCCCGCAGAGCCCTGATCTCCTCCGGGAGCTTGTTCCGCCAGATAGGGGCCGCCACCGAAAAGGACCTGCCCTTGTGGTAGCTAGCCTGGCCTCTTTAGGGCCTGGGGTCACTAAACGGTGCTGTGACCCCGACCAAAGTGCTCTTTGGGGCCTGTATGCGGAAAGGCGGTCCCTTTACACAGCAGCCAAATCGCTCAGCTCACAACTTTAATGCCAGTCGCTCACAAAGTAGAATTTTTGCTCACAAGACTCCACAGCTTAGAGGGGGCATTGGTGCTAGCTTGTGACAGTGAGATACCATCTCATCAGAATCCTGGATGGGCCATTGGTCTGATCCAGCATTGGCATCCTCTTACGTTCTTATGAGAAACATCTGGAGCAGAGGTTCATCAGTGGCTATTAGCTACAAGGTATAGAAAGGAGCTCTCGGTCTGGGGCAAGGGATGCTGTGTGTTCTTGGTGCTCGGGGGGGGGGGCAACAGTGGGAGGGCTTCTGGTGTCCTAGCCCCACTGCTGGACCTCCTGATGGCCCCTGGTATTTTTGGCCACTGTGTGACAGAGTGTTGGACTGGATGGGCCATTGGTCTGATCCAACACAGGCTTCTCTCATGTTCTTAGGTCTGGGGCAAGTGATGCTCTGTATTTTTGGTGCTTGGGGGGGGTCAACAGTGGGAGGGCTTCTAGTGTCCTGGCCCCACTGCTGGACCTCCTGATGGCCCCTGGTATTTTGGCCACTGTGTGACACAGAGTGTGGGACTGGATGGGCCACTGGCCTGATCCAACACTGGCTTCTCTTCTGTTCTCCTCCTCTCAGTCTCCTGCACTGAGGCTTCCATATGCTTGCACCAGAAGTCCGAATATCCGAGACAAAAACTCAGAAATCTTCTTGACAAAGAGAAGATTTATTCAGCGATAACAAATTCAAGCATACAGGAAAGTGCACAAAAAATATTCCCTGGTAGTTTAACAAAGCTCCGTCTTCTCTGGTACCATTTGGAAGTCAAGAACAGGTTCCAGAACACAAGATATATATATGCTACATTCACTGTTTGTCCCCTTGCCACGTTTATTTATTTTTATTTCGTTAAAGTATTTATATTCAGCCTTCCTGCCTATGTGGTCCAAGGCTGCTGGCAAACGAACAGAAGAAAAGAATTCACAGTGTAAATAGCTTCCCAACGAACAATCAACCAGACCAGCATTCTAGCAATAAAATCCAGCAAATCATAGTTAAATAACAAGAAGAGTTTTGGAGAATGAAAGCATTTTTGCCTAGCTTATAAAAAACTGAATTAGGTGCCATGTTTAATGTTTGAAGAGGGGGGACATCTACAGAAAAGGTATATAATCTCGTTGCACGTGTGGGATCGTACAGAATCTATAGATGTACTGAATCTATAGATGTACTGGTGCTTGGGGGGGGGGTTCAACAGTGGGAGGGCTTCTAATGTCCTGGCCCCACTGGCGGACCTCCTGATGGCACCTGGTATTTCTGGCCACTGTGTGATACAGAGTGTTGGACTGGATGGGCCTTTGGCCTGATCCAACATTGGTGTCTCTTATGTTCTGAAGCTCTCAATGCTTCCATGTGAAAGGTTCCCTTAACTGATGAGGCAAAAGGCATGTGGCCACAGAAACAGAAAGCACGTTGACTGTTCCATCTCAAATAGAATTTGTCCAATGTACATTATCTAGGAAACGCACCTTTTAAAATAAATGAAGTGATAATCCAATCTTTATGGCTACCACTAAAATTGTAAGAAATCTGATTCTGCTAAAAACAAACAAAACCCATCAGCAAATGTTTGTCTAGTTTAGGGTATGGGTAATGTGAGAGTTCTTCGAGGATATGAATCAGCCGCTTTACAGGGTTCTTTTACATCCGCACAAATCCTTTCCTGAACTTCCAGGAAAAGTGAGCTTAAATAGCTCGCAGCAACCTAAAAGCAAAAACATCACAAAAGCAACATGACCGCCCCCCACCCCGTAGATTGTGTAGCTGTGTGCAAAAAGAAATCCTTGTGTAATTGTCAAAAGTCTAAAAATGTATTTTTTATTTTTTAAAAAGGTATTTATATTCAGCTTCCCTGCATGGGGTGTCCAAGGCTGCTGGCAAACAAACAGAAGAAAATCAACTGGGTCTAATTCGTTTAGAGAATCTGGACCTTGTGAGAAAATGTGGGGTACTGTGCGGCTACAGAATCTAGAAAGCTGCATCCACCTTGAATGTCTTCAGGGATGATTTAGAAGGTAGTTTTTCCTCTCCTTTATAATTATTGGGGACGGGAACATGGCTTGTCAGTCCCCCAGTCAGATCGGAGGATTCCCCGTCTCCAGCCAGTTTGGTGTTGTGGTTAAGTGCGCCGACTCTAATCTGGGAGAACTGGGTTTGATTCCCCACTCCTCCACTTGCACCTGGCTGGATGACCTTGGGCAAGCCATAGTTCTGATAAGAGCTGTTCTTGAAAAAGAGCCGTTTCTGTCAGAGCTCTCTCAGCCCCACCTACCTCACAGGGTGTCTGTTGTGGGGAGGGGAAGGGAAAGGAGTTTGTAAGCCGCTCTCAGACACCTTTCGGATAGTGAAGGGCAGGATATAAATCCAATCTCCTCCTCCTCCTCCTCCTCTTCTTCCTCTTCTTCTTCTTCTTCTTCTTCTTCTTCTATGGGCTTTTCCGCATTCTACTTTCCCTTGCTTGTATATTCCTGTTTCTTCCCCCCCCCGGGGGGGTATTTATGTTTTTTGCTCCCTCTAGTGGTCGATTCGATATCATACCAGTTTAATGTCTGTGCTGTAGCAATCTGGGAGGGGGAGGAGCCTCAGCCCAGGGCAGGGAGCAGAAGCTTGCCTATCTATCTTTCCTGAGCGTTTGAGAGAGTCTGGGAAAGCAAGCTATGACGCAGCAGCAGTAGCAGAACTGGAGGAAGAAGCAGGAGACAGCCAGTCCCTTTCGGGCCTGGTTGTAGCCCCCGGGGGGGGGGCTGATCCGCCCCCCGGGCCGCATGTTTGACACCCATTCTTTAAACTATCGGTTTTTACAAGAGAGGGAAATGAGAACATGGAAAAGGCCATTGCTTGTTGAGGGAAAAGGTTGAGGGCGGTTTTTAAGGGGGGGGGGGGGGGGGGGGGGGGTATTGCAAAGAAGAAGAAGAAGAAATGCATGCTAAATCCCACCCCCTACTTCTTTTGAAAGCAGAATGCACAGAAAAGCAAAAAAAGTATGGCAAGGAAAAAAAGCACAATTCTCTGGAATTCCTCCCACCCTGAGGACTGAGTGAGAGAGGCGGGTCTCATGAAGTCTTCCTCCCAGTCAATAGAGGGAGCCAGAGAAGTGGGTGTTGCTGTCAGCCAGAAAGTCTCTGTTTCAATGCACATCCCGTGCTCGCATGCCTCGCAGTTGCGCTTATCATGTGGGCCTTCCACAATTCCTTCAACAACACAATGACGACGGCGTCTCTTGGGCTCTCCGTAGCTCTTCTCAAGGATCTTTAGAGCCAAATTGTACAGGATGGTCTCAAGGGCCTTCTCACTGAAGATGGGCTCCTCGTACCTGGCCATCGTACATCTACAGCATTTCTGTCTGAGCATCCACATCTTCACCTGGCCTCGGCTCTGACCCCAACTCTTCTCAAAGCGAAAGTGGAAAAGAATGACCGACTGAGCTGACATCCAGCACCTAGAACAAACCGAACACTCGAACCTGGCGGGAGAAAGGAATGAGACCAATGACCAATGAACAGCACTGAGTGAGAATTCACAGAAAATTCAAAAACATCACCAACTCTTCCTTGCTCTTGCGATGTCCCTCAGTCATCGTGCAAACGCCTGTCACTCCAGCCTAGGCAAGAACTGTGGTTGCCATCCTCCAGGTGTGGCCTGGAGCAGTGTTCCCTCTAAGCTGAGTGAGTGTGAGCCAGCTCACAGTTTTTTAGCCTCCGGCTCGCACATTTTCGTCTTCGCTCGGGAAGGAGGGCTCCGGATGAGCAACCTAATTCATGG